ATTGAAGCAACATCTCAAGACATCAGTCAGGAAGTTAAAGCTTGGTTGCAAATGGGTCTTCCAAATGGACAATGACCCCAAGCATACTTCCAAAGTTGTGGCAAAATGGCTTAAGGACAACAAAGTCAAGGTATTGGAGTGGCCATCACAAAGCCCTGACCTCAATCCTATAGAAAATGTGTGGGCAGAACTGAAAAAGTGTGTGCGAGGAAGGAGGCCTACAAACCTGACTCAGTTACACCAGCTCTGTCAGGAGGAATGGGCCAAAATTTCCCAACTTATTGTGGGAAGCTTGTGGAAGGCTACCCGAAAACGTTTGGCCCAAGTTAAACAATTTAAAGGCAATGCTACCAAATACTAATTGAGTGTATGTAAACTTCTGATCCACTGGGAATGTGATGAAAGAAATAAAAGCTGAAATAAATAATTCTCTCTACTATTATTCTGACATTTCACATTCTTTAAAATAAAGTGGTGATCCTAACTGACCTAAGGCAGGGATTTTTTACTAGGATTAAATGTCAGGAGTTTAAAAACTGAGTTTAAATGTACAGTGGGGAAAAAAAGTATTTAGTCAGCCAACAATTGTGCATGTTCTCCCACTTAAAAAGATGAGAGAGGCCTGTAATTTTCATCATAGGTACACGTCAACTATGACAGACAAAAGGAGAAAAAAAAATCCTGAAAATCACATTGTAGGATTTTTAATGAATTTATTTGCAAATTATGGTGGAAAATAAGTATTTGGTCAATAACAAAAGTTTCTCAATACTTTGTTATATACCCTTTGTTGGCAATGACACAGGTCAAACGTTTTCTGTAAGTCTTCACAAGGTTTTCACACACTGTTGCTGGTATTTTGGCCCATTCCTCCATGCAGATCTCCTCTAGAGCAGTGATGTTTTGGGGCTGTTGCTGGGCAACACGGACTTTCAACTCCCTCCAAAGATTTTCTATGGGGTTGAGATCTGGAGACTGGCTAGGCCACTCCAGGACCTTGAAATGCTTCTTACGAAGCCACTCCTTCGTTGCCCGGGCGGTGTGTTTGGGATCATTGTCATGCTGAAAGACCCAGCCACGTTTCATCTTCAATGCCCTTGCTGATGGAAGGAGGTTTTCACTCAAAATCTCACGATACATGGCCCCATTCATTCTTTCCTTTACACGGATCAGTCTCCTGGTCCCTTTTCAGAAAAACAGCCCCAAAGCATGATGTTTCCACCCCCATGCTTCACAGTAGGTATGGTGTTCTTTGGATGCAACTCAGCATTCTTTGTCCTCCAAAACGAAAATTGATTTTTTTTAAACCAAAAGTTTATTTTGGTTTCATCTGACCATAGACTTCCCCCAATCCCTTCTAAATATCCAAATGCATTTTCCAAATAATTGCCCCCACGTTGATTTTTTTAAACCATGTTTACCTTTTGCAGTTCGTCTTCCCAGCCTTTGCAGGTCAAAATTTTTTTTTCTGGTGTCCTTTGACAGTTTTGGTTTTGGGCCATAGGGGAGTTTGGAGGTGACTGTTTGAGGTTTGTGGACGGTGTTTTTTTACTGATAACAAGTTAAAAAAACTTTCCTTTAATACAGGTAACAGTGGAGGCCCGGACCCTCTTAAAAAGAAGTTACAGGTTGTGAAGCCAAAATCTTGTTTGTTTTGTAGGTCCCAAAATACTTTTTTCCCCACCAAATTTCAAAAAAATTCTTAAAATCCTACAAGTATTTTTTGGATTTTTCTCTTTTCAAATTTTTCTGTTTTATTGATGTACCTATGTGAAAATTTTCAGGCCTCTCTCATCTGCTACGCGCCACCAAGCCAGGATGCGAGTCGTCAGCAGGGTGAGGTCCGTTACGGCTCCCCGCACCAAGCCAAGGGTTGCGTATCGTCAGACAGGTCCGGTCCGTTCCTGCTCCACGCGCCGAGCCAAGGGTGCGGGTCGTCAGCCTGGTCCAGCCTGTTCCTGCTACTCGCACCAAGCCTAGGGTGCGTATCGTCAGCCAGGTCCGGTCCGTTCCTGCCTCACGCGCTAAGCCAGCGGGTGAGGTCGTCAGTCCTGATCCAGCCAGCTGGGGTCAGATCGGATCGGGGCCATTACGGGGGGATTGAAGTAGGGTGGTGGTCAAGCCCGGAGCCGGAGCCGCCTCCGAGGAGCAACACCCACCCAGCCCTCCCCTATTTGGGGTTTTGAGGCGCGGTCGCAGTCCGCGCCTTTAGGGGGGGGTACTGTCACGCTCTGGCTCCGGGACTTTGTATTTTGAGCCAGGGTGTGTTCGTTTTGGTTGTGTTTTGTTTGGTTGGGTTGTCATTGGTTGTGTTTTCCTTGTTTGGTCAAATGACTCCCAATCGGAGGTAACGAGTGTCAGCTGTCGGCTCGTTATCTCTGATTGGGAGCCATATTTAAACTGTCTGTGTTCACCTTGTGTTTGTCGGTTTTTGTTCCATGTTCTGTCAGTGTTACAGAGGACTTCACGTATCGTTCTTTATTTGTTGTTTTGTTCCAGGCTTTAATTAAATAAAGTCATGTTCGCTCAACGCGCTGCGCTTTGGTCTACTCATTCGTCAGACGATCGTGACACCAACATTTCCCAACTTATTGTGGGAAGCTTGTGGAAGGCTACCCGAAACGTTTGGCCCAAGTTAAACAATTTAAAGGCAATGCTACCAAATACTAATTGAGTGTATGTAAACTTCTGATCCACTGGGAATGTGATGAAAGAAATAAAAGCTGAAATAAATCATTCTCTCTACTGTTATTCTGACATTTCACATTCTTAAAATAAAGTGGTAATCCTAACTGACCTAAGGCAGGGAATTTTTACTAGGATTAAATGTCAGGAGTTGTGAAAAACTGAGTTTAAATGTATTTGGCTAAGGTGTATGTAAACTTCCGACTTCAACTGTATGTGTATAGCTGACCTGTGTGAGCAGGCTGTCCCTCTCCTGCTGTAGCTGGCCAGTTGTCTGTAGTTGTGCCTCCATGTCCTCCTCTCTCTGACTCAGGCTGCCCTGGAGACAGCTCACCTCATTCTGCAGCCTCTGCACCTCCTCTCCAAGGGCCTGCTCCTGCTGAGCCTGCACTGACAGCTACACACACAGACACACAGTGCACAGCATCAAGAGCACACACACACAGACACACACAGTCAATGACGCACAAACTCAGCATATGATGCTAATTGGAATTCCATGAGCAGTTAGTGAAAGCTAGTGTCAGGGCCACCGTTACACAAACACACACACACACACACACACACACACACACACACACACACACACACACACACACACACACACACAGAGACAGATAGACAGACAGGCAACATACATATAATTTCATTTTCAGTGAAACATTATCACTTATCAGGAAATAATTGTTGCATGTGTGGGCGCAAGTGTGAATTGAACAAAATCCCAATCTATATAATGAAAGAAAACAGTGCTGTGAGCAGACAAGAGGAGAAGGCAGGGGAGCATATGGAGACAACCAGAGACAACCACAAACCCATTGTGTTCTCCTCTATTCTGCCTGCAGTCAGACCTGTAGAGCCTTGTTGTCTGGAGAAGTGGAATCTGATTCCCTGTAATATATGTGGCTATTACCCTGTTTCCCCCCTAACCATCGCCCCCTCCGGCCCCCATCAGCAGCAAGTTTCAGAGGTAGTAGGCTAAAAGAGTGAGTGATAAATTCACCCCCCCTCCCCTCCTCTCCCATCCCCACCTCTCAACCCGAGCCATCCCATCTCTCTCTCTCTCCCTCAGTCCCTCTCTTCACCCGTCTGCTCAGATTAAATGACATCTCCCTGTGAGTCTCAGGAAACGCCACGTAAAGCAATTACTAACAAGCCTGATGTGCCCCCCCCCTTCCCTTTGTGTATGGGGGGGGGGGCATGTGCCCTTCAGCAAAAATGAATTTTCCAATTGCAGTTAGTTCTGCCATGAATAAATAAACAAATGAATAATTGAGTGGGCAACATAAATAAATAACATCACAAACATTTCACTGGCACTCATAAGTATTCTGCAGATAACTTGGGCTGCATGCTAATGATAAAAACAGTACATGTAGCAGGTTCCCAATGCATTATTCACCGCTCCCCTCCAACCCAAAATTAAATAAATAAAAATCTTTCAAGCAACTCAAAACATCCTCTCAGCATTGAAGTGACAGGCCTGTCCCATTTATAACACACAAGGACACTCTGGCAAACAAATATCTGACCAGTCAGAGAGAGGTATAAATAAAGCAGCACAACACAGCGTACGGCCATTGACAGGTCCTCCACAAGTTCTCCTTCAAGAAGAAAACTCTGAAATAACACAGAGGGTTCATGGGACAAACAGTCAGGCGTCTTTTCTAAGTCCCATAGTACAGGGCTGGCTGGACACTAACAAGGTCACCATGTCCTTGAGCATCCTCCTTAGGGATATACAGAGGGGGGGGGGTTATGTGCCCTTGGGAATTCTGATGGATTTGAGTTGAACTAGCCTCTCCACATACCCACAGCACTAGGACTCATCTTCGATGGCTGTAGAGACTGTGTTAGGCAGGTCTGTACAATCATGTCCTTTTCAACTAATTAAAAACAGATTAGATCTCAGGCCTCACCTCATCCTGAGCTGATTTCAGGTGTTCCTGGGCGGTCCTCAGTTCTGTGGTCAGTCTCAGCACTGTTTCATCCCTGCTGGCCACCTGAACACAACCACACACCTTGGTCAGTCCCTACTTACACTCAATTCACACTGCCTTTACTGTCAGCATGGTTTATCTTCTGCTGTTTAGATTTAAAACAACACTACACTATATCGACACATTGTTAACAATGACTTTGGTAAAGACATGTTGTATTCGACATCCATTATGAAACATCCTGATACAAGGCCATGGCATTTCTGATTGCCTGTTTGTGAGCTGACCAGCTAAGGGGCATCATGACTAGGGTTGGTTAGATGAGGGAGAGGAGACAGATGGAGGACAGATGTTGAGTGATGTTAAGGCCAGTACCTCGTGCTGTGCAGCCTTGTGTTTCTCAGTGAGCAGGTCCAGTTCATGGCTCAGGTCCTGGTTCTCTGTCACCTGAGAGGCCAGTCTGTCTCTCTGTTCCCCCACCTCACGCAGCTCCTCCCTCAGCCTGCTCACCACAGCCTCCTCCTGGACCAGCTACACACAGACAGAGAAATAGAATGGGTCTAATAGAGGAGAGGCTAATAAAAGAGGCTAGCAGAGGTACAGTATATGGATAACCCTACTGACTTTTTTAGCATATTATGTAACTATTGGTACTGGTGACTTTCTATCAAGGTTCAAGTACCTGGGCATAGCAGGTGGAATACTGCTGTTGTAGTTGGACCAGATCAGCTCTGATCTCAGCAAGCCTCTCCTCTGTCTCCACACACTGGCTATCCTATAACAAGTGGCACATGAAAGGTCATTCCATTGTCATAAACATTTCAATACATGGCTCTTAATGGGTCAAATGAAATGAAAAATGTTCTTACCTGCTTCTCCCTCTCTCTTCTACATGACCTCAGCTCGGCAGTAACTTGCTGCAGTGCATCTTGGGAGGAGAGCAGCTGTTGGCGGAGAACACGGGTGTCTTCTTCATGGTCCTGCAGCTTCACTCTGACAGCCACCACTGTCTCATCCTTCTGGGCAAGCTGTGGGACAGGAGGGAACATAACACACTTAAGAACACATCAAGGACAGAGAACATGCTGATTGTATAGTAATAGCTAAGTGGAAAGCACTTTCCTGTTCAAAGCACTGGCATTATTTGCAATCAGCAAGCACAAAAAAGTTCAAATCAAACGTTTATTTAATGTTGTTCTCTATGTTCCGTCTTACAGGGATACAGGAAAATCAATGACAAAGAGCTTGATGGTTTTAGTGCCATCCCATGGATACACATAATAACACATAAAGAGGTAAAAGTCCCTTTAATGGTGGGAACACCACAATTGTACATGAGAAAAGAACACAATCTATATAGATGTTCTGTCCAGTTAGTTTCCCATTTGGACAAAAAACATGCTCTAGATAAGCAAGAAATGTTTTCCTGTTTTAGGGAAATAGGTTTGTCTGCTAGCTACATCCCTCCATTTCACTGCAAATTGGATAATACGGGTTTATACAGAACAATTTTTGCTATTGTTATTCAGCTTCTGTGAAATTGTTGTGGATTACACATAATTATTGATAAAGCAGCTTTCTCTATCCGTTTTTGCTGCCCAAATCTGTTAAAATATGATGAGACTCCACATTGGTAACAGAGTAATAAAAACACACGGCTATATTGATAGTGTTATTTTGTCGCGAGTAATCATACGCATGAGAGACAGAGAGAGGCAGACTGGGATGAGGCAATTAACAACAACAACACTGATACCAGAAACATGTGGAATGGGTGAGTGGGTTGGTGGGCTGGGGAGGAGAGGGGGGTCGGAGGGGTGGTTGTAGACTGAGGTATCTAAAGAGTGGCTGAGGATTCCAACCACAACACAGACAGACAGACAGACAGAGGACAATGAGCAGATAGAGAGGCACAAGGTCAGTCTGAGGTTCACCACACATGCTTTTACAGACCGCTGTGCCTTCCAATGAGCACAGGCCTCACTCTGAAACAGAGGCGCCTTATTTTCACATAGAAAATTCTGATTGTGAGAGGGCTATGGCTGAGTGATTTTCAGTTGACCTACAGGAGTTATTCCTAACAGTGGTAGTTAACTGAGTTATAATGTCCTTTTTATCACAAGAAACAATAAAATTACAAGAAAGAAACACATCAGTAAAGAAAAGAAAATATACTTTCTCCTCTCTGTGAGGCTAATTTTCCACAAAGCCCATTAAGGAGCGTCATTAACCTGCTTGCTAAGCACAACATTTTTAATTAAATCCATGGGGGTCATATGCGTTTTAACACGGCAGTGCACTTGAAAGTGGGAAAAAAAACAACTGAATTTCCTGTACATTTCTGGGGTTGCAGCCTAATGTGGAGCTCAGCTTAATTAGACCCCAGTGACCTGATGTTATGGAGCCTGACCGGGTCCTCACTACACCCACACTGCAGCCGCACCCCCGCCACCAAGCCTGCACCCTGCCACCTCCCCCTCCTCCCCAGGCCCTGACTCTCTTCCACCTCTCCCCTCCTCTTCCTACCCGTCCCTCGACCCCTGCTCCCAGTACCTCCCCAGCCGCAGCCCCAGCTCCTCACCCTGTCCTGTAGGTCCTCCAGGCTGTGCTGCAGCTCCTGCCTCTGGGCCCCCATACTGTGGCTCTTCTCCTCCTGTAGTCTCAGGCCTCTGAGGGCCGTGTCCCTGGCCCTCTGTACCTCCTGAAGCTCAGCCTCCCTCAGCCTCAGGCCCTCTGAGGCAGCGTGGTAGCGGTCCCTCCACGCCCACAGCTCCCTGTCTCGCTGGGCACTCTCCTCCCACAGCTCCCGACCCACCACATCTGCCTGGCTCTGCAGCCACACAGCCTGCACCTCGCTCTCCCTCACCTGCACATAGACACACAGTCACAGTCAGTGATATCACGAAATAGACATCTTCAGTCATTCATATCAGTCAGGAGACATCTAAAAACACAACTCACACACACTAAGAACACACACGTTAATAGTCAAGGACATAGTACAGACACTCATGTAAATACGTCCGACACTCCTCATCACGGTGTCTGCCGTGGCACAGCAGACTGTCCCTCCTGTCACAGCTAGCTCCCAGGATGTTAAAACAACACGTCTATAACAGCCCTAGTGAGTTTCCACTAAAACCCACTTAAAGAGCAGGACTATTCTTTATGAACTGACAAACTCACACAGTAACAGGATCAGCACATAAAAGTCCATGCGAATGAAACGAACGTGTGTTAGCGGAGTGTGAAAACATACTGCGGCGCGCACCTCTGCAGACCCTTCTATTAATCAACCTGTCTGCACTTTGTTTTGAGAGTAATCTTGTCCAACCACCAGAGAAGCACTCAGCAGTTAGTGGAGCTTGGCTGTGCTTTGAAGGCCGTGGTTTATTGCGGTCCCAGAGCACAGTGAGGCCGCGCTGTAAAAACACGCAGTCCCAGCGCTCTACACTCGTCCGTGGTAAATGTAAATGTTACTCACCTCACACAGGGATCTAGCGCACACATACAGACCACCTAAAACACCCATCTGACCCTTTTCTATTTCTCTCTGGTTCCTTCTCTCTCTCCGTCTACAGATGATCACTCCCTCTGTCCTAGGTCTGCCCTCTGCTCTGTCCCACTGTCACCCTCTACCTCCCACTGGCTCTATTGACTGGGACAGGGACTGTCTGAGCCCTCATTAGTGTGGGCTGCCAAGGCCATGCTCAGTAGATATGTGCATACACACAGACACACACACAGAGCCACACCAATCCCCGGAAACTCTCCTGACCCACTCTTTGGCCTTTAAGGGCCGACCAAAAGCCTCATTACACGTCGGCTCCCACTGCTTAAGAGGCGAATGTGAAGTTGAAGGGTTGAGGGCAGGCTTTAGAAGATGCCCACGCTGTGTCAGTCAGTCAGCCACCTCACAACACAGCAGCGTGAGAGGAGAGGCCTTGTTAACCAAGCAGCATTGTGTGTCATCCTGTTCCTGAGAGCACAAGGTGTCAGCCAGAGCCCAGAGCCACAGACCTTGTCCTTGAGCTGATGCTGCTGGTCTCTCAGCCTCTTCAGCTCCTCTTCTCTACCACAAAGCTGAGGAGAAACACACACAACGAATTAAGTACACAGAGGGTGAAGAGATAGAGTGGGAGGTTACACAGAAGGGCTGTTATAACAAACACATTATGAAAGGCCCAATGCAGCTGTTTTATATCAATTTCAAATCATTTCTGGGTAACAATTAAGTACGTTAATGTAATAGTTTTCCATTTAAATGGTCAAAAAGAAACAAAATAGCTTTTTAGCCTAAAATAATTTTGCTAGAATTTTGCTAGGACTGTCTAGGAGTGGTCTGAGTGGGGAGGGGGGAAACTGAAAACTAGCTGTTATTGGCGAGTTTTCAGGTTTTGGAACTCTTTGTTATTGGCCTATTAACTAATTTACTGCCTGGTGATGTCACCAGGCAAGCCAAAACTCCACCCATGCAAAACCTGCTGATTAGAAGGTATTGTATAGATTATATTTCCAACCAGAAACTATCAGGAAATAACAATGATCACATTTACTGAGTTTTTGACACATTTACAGTGTTAGTTTCATCAGCTGTTGCACAATATGATACAAGAAACTGAATTTTGACTGTACTGGGCCTTTAATAGCATTCACATTCTCAACAGTGCTAAGTCTCTTGACAATCAACAGCAGGTGTAGGCCAATCCAGATGAATAACTAATGCTGCTATCTAGTCCTACTGAGTGGTTGGACCCCCCTACCCCCCTCTCTCTCCTCACTAGACCTGGAGTGAGAAGCATCTGAAACCTTAATAAAACAAAGTGCCTCTCCTTTCTTTACTTGACCTCTTCAGGAATACCTCTTTAAATATTGAAATATTAAGAGAGAACAGCAAAAACCTACGGCAGGAGTAAAAAGTGCTGAAATATTGAAGGGGTGCTGTGGCTGGGCAATTTGGGAGCGGTAATGCAGGGAGCGAGGGAGAGCGAGGGTGTGTGTAGAGGAGAAGAGGGGGAAAGTGACAGCAATAGACCTGACTACCAGGACGGGAGAGGCTGACGCAGGTACCTCAGGCCCCTGGGGCCCCCGGGCTTTATTAACAGTGGCCCCTGGCAGGGAGGTGACATTCAGCTGTACTGGAACTCTGGTAGTTAGGGAAATGAAGCTGAACTGAGTGGAGGCCTAAGAGAACGCTTTATGGTAAACAGCAGATATTGAGCAAGGAAAGACTTCAAAATCTTCAGAAACTTTTTAAGTGATAGTTCAATCTGAGTGTGAACATCTTGAGAGTCGGAGGGCAGAGAATGGCACATGAATGGCACATTGCTCTTATAGAGGTGACCTCTCTTCTTTTAGATCCAAGGAGGATGACATCACTCTTGACCTCTTCTCTCTAAACACAAATACCCTGTATCTGAATGCAACATTCCTCCCCCAAAGACACAAAGATGTCATGTTTTCTCCCTGCACCTGGGATGAAAAGAGGCTTTAACCCACGCCTTGAAGGTAGCATAGTTGCGCCTCATCTTAAAGCAGATGTCTTTTTTTCCTCAATAGCTCAGGGTCGGCAGTGTCAAGGCAAGTAGCCCCACAGCAGTTCTAGTCTTTTGTGGAGGCTCTCTTTGAGCTCAATAATAACAGCTTTTTGAGCAGTTGAAGGTACTGGACTGTACACACGTGTGTTTATATGAGTGGAGTTACTGTTCTTCATTGAGCAAAGGAAGGTTGTTATAGACAGTGTGTGTGTTTCAATTTCAAGTTTTAATGGCACGTGCACTGCCTTTACAGTGAAATGCCTTTCTTGCAAGCTCTGTGTGTGTGTGTGTGTGTGTGTGTGTGTGTGTGTGTGTGTGTGTGAGACGGATGCTGTCAATAGACAGAGCACTAACTGACCTCTTTTCGCATCTCCTGTCTCTCATTCTTCAGTCTGTCCACCTCCCTCTGCTGATCACCAATCAGCTCTTCCTTCTGCTGCTGTGCCCCCCCCTTCTCAAAACAGACACATGCACACACACACACCCGGAGGGCAGAGGTGAGGCACACATGGGAGAGAGAAGAGTCTGTTTTTAAAGGTGTCAGCGGATACCTTTGCATTATGCATATCACACCTCTGAAATGATCCATTAGCAGGTTACGGCGTGAGAGCTGCTAAATCAGCTGACGGGACACCAGGCCAGCACAGACAATATCCTCTACTTTCACTGCCAAATGAGAGGGAGTATTTGTCCATACGGAGCAGAGACAGAGAGGGTCGCTGGGCCAGAGAGGAGCACTCTCTCTAGGCCCCTGTCCCTGTAAAGCCAGACCCCCTCTGCTGTCCCCAGAGAACGAAAGGGATAGAGGGGGGAGAGAGAGAGAGAGAGAGAGACAGAGAGAGAGAGAGAGAGAGAGAGAGAGAGAGAGAGAGGCGAGAGAGACAGAGAGAGACAGAGAGAGAGAGAGAGAGGCGAGAGAGACAGAGAGAGAGAGAGAGAGAGACCCCCCCTGCACATCCAGACACTGATTTATAATTTTAATATCTCTAATTTCCACAGCAGCGGCCGCTTTCCAAATGTCATTTTCCAATTTATGTCAAACCGTGTGACCATTTTTCTTAATATGGCTTATGACAAGCCTGGTCGCCAGGCGGATATGCAATTCAGATTGAGTGTTTTACAGGCGCGGGAGCATACAGGCTGGGGTGTTTGTGTGTTTATCTTTACCAGTGCTCAATATTTTTGAGGGGGGAGATCGAGGGCGTCATACACAAGGGAAAATGTAGTTTTGCGGGAGGAAATGGCTGCAGGGAACAAAATTATAATTCTGTCATAAATCAAATAATTACAGTTACCATAATCAGAATTATGATGGTAGTAATGATAATGTATTAAAATATGTATTAACACTAAGAGCCTGAAATGGAACGTGGGATGGCTTCACGGTCATTATATGAATATTTATGTTAATTAAAACAGGGCCTCCCCTTTTATGTACCACTATATCTCAGTGCTAATCGTCTTAGTGGAACACAATGGAGATTGTTGCGGAGGGGCAGGATGCAGTTCGGGGCTCACCCTGAGGATGGCGCTGTGGAGCTCCTCTCTGGCACGGCTCAGCTGGCCCTGCAGGGCGGATGTCTCTCTCTCCCACTCTATCTCTCGCCCATGTAGCTCAGCCAATGACCTCTGGAGCCTCTGCACCTCAGCACTGCTGTCCTGCAGCTAGAGAACATAGAAAATAGAATAATGTCAATCTCACACACACACACTGTACAGACAACATTTGCTCAAAGGAGGTAAGGTATGGTCACACGTCCTGGTCGAAACCATAGCCAACAGCATCCTGCTAAACTAAAGGCTTGACAACAAGCAGCTCATCAGACTAGATTAATCATATAAAGCCCATAGAGAACATGTTGGGTAGTTCCTCACAATACTCTTCATTTGGCTATAAAACTCCATATGATCCATATGATTGAGAGGTCTGGATGTTCGTGCTGAGGTCCAGCTCTCTCTGTGGGTGTTGGCTGGCTCTGTGATGTAGCTGTGACTCTCCATTCAGCTGGCTGCTGACAGGCCTGAGAGCCCTGATAGAAAGACAGGCAGGCTGGCCTATGGCAGGCCCTAATAGCCCATAATGATCACTGGGAACTTAGTCAATGAGGAATTCATTCCTGGCTGGGGCCTGTGTGTGTGGCTGGCCTGTCCATGGCTATACACTACGGTGCGGTCTGGTATGACGTTGCGAGCCTCGTCCCACTGCTCCTCCCTCCACCAACCACCTATCGACTCGCCAGCGCGTGTTCCCCACCCTCCACAAATGGGTAAAAATAACAGGAACAAGTTGTCGGAAATGAAATTTCAATTCATCCAGTCCCTTTATACA